GATAAAGCCTTCATAGTAAGTGTAACAAGCCCTATAGTTTCCTCCAAACCAGGCTAAAGTACCCAACAGAGGCCGAAAAGTCACTGAATGTAACCTGCAGCCTGCGCTGAGTGTGGAGAGAACTCTTCTGATCGAAAGGCATTCCTGGACCATTTCCATTTCCTGAATATGTCGATTGCTTTTCAGAGACCAATCTACAAGAACAGTTAAACACATCTGCTGTGGTGACCTCTTGATGGTAAAGGGGAGGAGAGATAAGAAACATCTGCTTATCAAGGAAGAGTATTTGACCCAAGCCCTCTAGTATGCCTGTAGATCTTTCCAAACACCCACCGATCTGACTAGCATACTATTGATAAAAATAGCCTCTCAGAAGGCCAGTGTTACATGTGGGATTTTCTAACTGCTCTCTAACATTGAATATGTACATCAGAGATCGGCAACCTCTGGCCCGCGGCCCGCCAGGATAAGCACCCTGGTGGGCCGGGCCGGTTTGTTTACCTGCAGAGTCCGCAGGTTCGGCCAATCGCGGCTCCCGCTGGCTGCATTTCACCGCTCCAGGCCAATGGGGGCTGTGGGAAGCAGTGCGGTCCGAGGGATATGCTGGCTGCTGCTTCCCGCCGCCCCCATTGGCCTGGAGCGGTGAACCGCAGCCAGTGGGAGCCGCGATTGGCCGAACCTGCGGACGCAGCAGGTAAACAAACCGACCCGACCCTGGCGGGCCGTGGGCCAAAGGTTGCCGATCCCTGATGTACATGTTTATTTGGGTCTCTTTTTTGATCATTGATCTTTAACAGTGACGTTATCACACGATCCCTTAACGCTTAAGGCTCGCATTAACAATTCAACTCATCCAATGGTGCACGCTGCAGGAAGACCTAGTAAGACCCTATTCGCTGAGGTAGAATTATAAGAGGTAGAGCTTTGAGCTGTACTTCCATTTTGGTCTTGGGAAAAATAATGGAAGAAAAGACGAATAGCGTGTGACCTCCATTTCCAGTTCCAAAACCCAGAACTGCTGTTACTTTCCACCCACACCTCCTGCAGCCTTGAGACCCAAGGTTTGGTACATTTACTTCTCCCTATACAGGTTACTGGCCCCTGCCTTTCCTTTCATGTAATATTTTCCTTCTATGAGCCTTGCTTTTTTTTCTCTTAATCTCTTCCATTCCTCTCCTCCCTCACAGCTCCTACTTCTTCTTGTCCTTTGCTACTCTCCTTCTTTCTTTGTCATCCATTATTGTCCTGGGGTTTTTTTGTTGTCTCACCTGCCAACCGGAAGATTGCCTCTCCCCCTCTTCCCCATGTAAGGTTCTTCTCCACTCAGTATCCTTTACTCCCTTCTGTCAGACTTTCCCAACAGACCCTGGACACAAGTCACAGGAGTTCAGTGCTAATAGCTGAGACAGACAGGTGGCACCTGGTGTGATCAATATCCCAGAGTTTACTGGAACAGGAAAATATTCCAGTTTCAATAAAGCCACTGAGACTGCATTTGTAGACCAAGATAGTCTCATTCAATAGGAATATCCATTCAAAGATGAACTGCTGAAGAAAAGCTTAAAAGAGAAGGATGGTTTGTGGTTAATGAGCTGGTTTGGGATGCAGGAGGTCTGGGCTCACTATTAGACTCACCTACAGACTTCCTCTTTGACCTCATGCAAATCACTTAATCTCTCCTTGCCTCAGTTCCACAACCATGACATGGGGGTAATGCTACTTCTTTTCCCTGCCCTTTCTCTGTCTTGTCTCTTTCGAGTGTATGATCTCCAGGACAAGGACTGAGTCTTACTATGTGTAGTGTCTAGCACAATGTGTCCCAGACCTCTGCTGGGGCCTCTAGAAGTACCATATTATAATTGAATGGAGCATGTCAAAAGCATTTTTTGTTTATGAAAAATGGCCTTCCATTTTTAAAGGTGAGTATTTTCACAGAATTGTTCAAAAATTTCTAATTTCAATGAAAACCTGAAAAAGTTAGTTTTTTTTTATCTATTTTTTTTCCAAACAAAAAAACCTGACAATTTCAACAATATTTTTAACCACGTTTTTTCATTTCTTTCCATTTTTTCATGGATTATATTTACCATTGTCCAAACAGCATTAATGAGAGATTAAAATAAGACGGAGAGTTTTCAGAGAAGTCCAGAGAACTCCTTTTTAACAGAAGGAAGATTACTTCCTCTACAAGAAGCCTGTGTTTGCTATTCTCAGGGCCAATGGCTCTTCCCTGGCTAGATGCATCTACAGTATGAAATTTTTCAATGCTGTTTCAACACAGTCCTTGAGAGCAGGTATATATTTTTGAAGTTTAAACAAGGCCACGGTGTCATATTGTGCAATTGCAATGGGACCGGCATGTTCGTCTCTAATTTCATCACTCATCACTAATCTCACTCATGGATAAAGCTGTATCGATATGGCTATAAAGCTTCCACTAACCAGTCACTCGAGTGGAATGGCCCCATCCTGTCCAAGATCGAGGCCCTCACACTTCATCCTCCAGCCCGGTCTGGATTGGTGTTTACAGAGTCTCAGAAGGAATGTGTGCTCTTCTTACAATGAGAAAGAGCAGGTTTGCATAATCTTAACTGCAGGATCCCAGGAGCCAGAACTAATTCAAAGCTCTCCTAATTTGACTTGGGGATTCTACACTGTGACAGCAAGACTTAGGGAATGGCTCTTCTCTATAACCTTGTTTGAGTGATCATCTTTTGTTTCCATTACTCCAGTTTGCAAGATGACAGCTATCAAGACAGATTCCAGAATGCCTTTTAAAATGACACATGTCAAAAGTGAACTGTTAAGAGCATCTAAACAGAGGGGTTTGCATTAATATTTAGCTTGCCAAGAATCACATTTCAATAACAACTGATTTATTCTCTCACACATGTGCAACAACAAAAACATTGCCTGACATTGTTTTTCTGATTTTTCTTTAATTAAAAACATGCACTTTAAGACACACTTGCACAGTTTATAACAGAAACCCTCATCATTTGAGCTTTTAGCACTCTCGGATTGTAATGTCCTTGTGCTGGCAAAAAATAAAAAAACCTGCTCTTTCTGTGTGTTTATGAAGCCTCCGGAAATACCATAGCAAACATTCCTGCTCTACAGCAGTGAAACCATGTGACCTGAAGGCACAGCCAGGAACTTCTTTCCCCTGAGTTTCTTCATGGAATGGAAAAAGGAAATTTTTCCTTTGAAGCCAGAATCCATGGCCAGGACAGCATACACAAGGTTGTTTTTAAAGATTATTTGGCTGAATTCTCTAACCTATGGCTGGACATGTCATATTATTTTGTACTGAAAGGGTCAAGTCTTTAGACATATATTCAGATGTAGGACACAAACCCGAACGAACCTTTTAGGACACTGCTACAAAAATATTCCCAGGGTATTCTAAAGCAAGGTTTATCATTCTTGTTCTGCAATATTCTATTTCTTGGTATAAATAATTAAGAGGTCTTTCCCTCCAGTGAAGACTTGGTTAATTGCTCTCCTTTTTTTTTCGGTTTTCCCATTTTTCAGTTTGGTTTTTGTTAGTACTGTTAATGAATGGATTTGTCCATGCAAGTTCTGCTAAGTGTGACCAAAGATGACTTAAAGCATAAGCCTGAATAATAGCTTTCCATTTTTATCAGTATTTGTAAGTAATCATTCATGATGTAGGGGGTCGAGGGGGGTCATACAATGCTAGTTTTATACCAGTGAATATTTGTTTTCTTGGTTTAAAAGAAAAAAACACACAAAAAAGAAAGGCAGCCCTGCAGTAAAAAAGTACAGCAAATGGCAGGCACACACCACTAACTGGTTCTAGTGGCCATGTCAGAAATGTTTCTAATTATCGGAGGCAAAACTGGGATGGCATTTTCTGCTGGAAGCAAGATTTACACTATACCCTCCTCCCCACACACCCCCAGCATATAAATATTGGTCAAACAGTTTTTTCTCATTTGGTTCTTGAAATAAGCGGTGGGCAGGAGCAGGGGGCGTTTGGAGGTGAGGCTGGAAGAAACATTGATGAAGAAATGCTTCAGGTCAACCGTCTGCACCTCACCAAGATGTATCATTGAAATGCTGGGGAGCAATATTGGTAGTAATAGATAAGGGAAGTCTATTCGATCATTAATGCCAATCCCTCTCAAAGTGGGCTTTCAAATTATGATCCTTGGACCACTGGCTGGTGAGCTGCAGAAAGCTGGATGGTCACATGGTACTAACACCACCTCCTTATTTCCAGCTGCTAATTTGCATTAAAAACAACTGAAAATACATTAAACATTTCCCTAAAGTCACTTCCCCACCTATGCAGTGCCATGTAGACATTCTTGGGAGTTGAAGTGGAAATGGTCCACATGATAGCAAGTGAGAGGGCAGTTGATTCATAAGACAAAACGTGAACCACACTGGAAAAACACTTGAAACCCACTAAGGTACTCTGGAACTATGCCAAAGGCAGAGATGCAACAACCTATCATCTTATGTATTTTAAATACAATAAAAAATAGATTGAATCAAACAAAGAGTAGAACAAGTTTGAAGGAAATGTCTAAATATGACAAAAACAAATAAAAAAATACTTGTTGTGTACTTTTCATTCCTCACTACACCTGGATATAAATACTAAACACTACTTCATTGAAACTACTGTTGAATTTCTACTAAGGGACTGCTAGTTTGTTTATTATAAGTGCATGTTTACTGGGAGCATTCAGAACATACTATTTTACAGCTGGAAAGGCCAGTGCAAGCATCATTTGTTTGTTCTGTATATTAGAATCAACAGAATTAAACCAAGGTAGCCAATGAATGTTTATACCGAGGGCTTTGCTAGAAGTGTTTTGTCATTGCCATCAATTGAACTACTTCTCAAAAGAGCTGATGAACCTTGATAGCAACCAGATGAGTGGTTAAAGCATAAACCATGATGCACTGGCTAGAAAAGACAAGAGACCCATATGTATTTTACCAGCTGAGAATAAAAATCTTCCTACCTGAGTTCCACAAGTGCCTTCTTCCTCTCAGGAGCTGATGACTATTTCCTCAGTGCCTTCACATAACACGATCCATTTTCCTACAATGAAATATAGATGCGTTACTCACACATCCTCATCGGTATAATGCAGCAGCATTTAAGCTGCAAGAGCAGATCTGCAAAAATTCATGGAACTTTAAAAGTTCTAAAAAGCAAGATGTGGGGGGAAAGGATTAAGATTTGGGACCGCAGGTTCTATAACAAGCAATTCCACTGATTCGTTGTGGGACTAGGGTGAACCACTTCATCAGTTTAAACCTCAAATTTTGCTCATCTGTAAAATGAAGATGAGAAGCTGATAGTGAATTCTACTAACGTGAGCATTCAGATTTATTAACCTGAAAAGTAAATATTTTTTCTTCAGTTAAATGCCATGCTGAACTCTCTTTCATTCTCTTTATGGAGAGTCTTTGCTGAATGTTATGAACTATCATTTAAAAAAAAAACAAAAAACAAAACAAAAAAAACCAACCCTGAACTTTGCTTAGGTGGAGGAGACAAAATACCACAAAACACCACCCTGTCTGAAGCAAAACAAAGCAAATTTACAGATTACTTTGGCACGGCCCCTTGACTTCTAGGAAATGCTGTTTAAATCATAAAAGAAATGCTGTAAGGGGGACAGGGGAATGTTTACTGGCAGCATGGGTTCTTTTACATGCTGTCTCAGCAATCAAGCAGGGTATCCTTATAGGCTTCTGTTAATAGGCACTAAAACTCAGAATACTGGGCAGAAAAAATGAAGAACATTCACACACGAATACAGTTTGTAATCCTTTTTATTCATTTTCAACTAACTTTTACACAATGATTTTTTGTTTGCAAGAACGTTCATGAAAAGCCAGTCTTCTAAAGCAGAAAACATCCCACGTGATTTCAGTGCCCAGTCCATCAGCAACCGCTAATGATCAATTATCAGGAGTTGAAGCCAGATATTAGGGAACAACTCAGACACCGCAAAATACTCACATTCAGGGTTAGATGACAAATGTAGAATAATGAAAAAATGTAAGTTATGATTACTTCCTATTTGGATTGCAGGAGCATTTAGTTTGTTAATGGATAATTCACAAAAAGTAAAAAAGCTAAAAATTAAATTGTTTCCTAAGAACAGCATCCTCAACTGAAATAAGTATATTGTCATGAAGACACAATCTGCCTAAGAAACGGATTCGGCTGTATTTCTTGTCCAGGTAAAAAAATAACCATTTTAGGAAGCCTGCATTTTGACAGACACTATTGGTGAAAAATTGATCTTTAAGTCTCCTGACAATAATCTCTTCAAAACTCCATTATGTATTTGTTCTCTTCCACAGATTCCTTCCCTCTCCCCCCACAATTTTAACTTCTTTCTACTAGAGGTTAAACTTTTGTTCCACCCAGTAGAGGAGTCAGGAGTCCTGGGTTCTATTTCAGGTTCTGCCACTGACACTCTATGTGATTCTGGGTAAGTCACTTCACTTCTCTGGTCCTCAGTTTCCCCATCTGTAAAATGGGAATGATGATACTGATCTTCCCTTTTAAAGTGCTTTCAGATCTATGGCTGAAAAGAATTATGCAACAGCTGAGTATCATTATTATTAATGATCCCACATTATGGATTCTCCATCGCTTTTTTAAAAAGCTGGCCCAAACCCATCTCTTCCATGCTGCCCATATCCTATACCCCCGCTGACACTCGCTATCACCAACCCATTGGTTCAGTATCCCAAACTTCTCTCTGTCCTTCAGTCACTTTCCTGTAAGTACTGCACATGCAATGAGGCAGTTGTATAAGCAGTGCACCGTGAAGAGGAACTGTGTTATACGAACAGGGACAATCTCTCCTAACAAAGCTTCCAGTTTGCATATCAGCACTGTCAGTGCAATCACGGCTTGGGGAAGACAGGGCATGTCTGCTGCTCCTGCAGAGCCAGCAGAGGGAGCACAAGAACCAGTTTGTGGGACCCAAAGGAGTAATTTTTTTAAATAAAGTTTCTTGGCTATGAAATGCTCAATCATTAAAATCCAAGGCACTTGGTATTAGATTATTTCTAGTACCAAAGGCATGTGTGGTGCATTACAAGTTATAAAAGACTAAAATCTGTGCTCTGAGGCAATGGCGCTCTAAGATCAATAAGTGAAAGGACAACCAACACATTACATACAGACTAGGATTGTGTGGGGGTGATGGAAAGACAACAGTGTTGTCTGCCAACTCTTGCGATTTTATCACGAGTCTGACAATATTTGGTGTTTTTCTTTAAACCTCTGCTCCTGGAATCCTGTGATTACAAGAAAATCTCTGTTTCTGTTTTAAAAGAAAGGCAACTGTCCAATTTCTAGCCCCCATCGTTGTGCAGAAAAGTTCAGAAATGTGACCCGAGTGCACACCCCAAAGGCTCGAAAAACAAAAGACAAATAAAAAGAACCCAAAATATGGGGTGCGGTGGCGGCGCGTGGTTTTACAAGTATAATGACTTTTAAGCCAATCATAATTTTGGGCACCTGACTCATGGTTTTTGAACACTTGGGGTTGGTAATTAGCAATTCGGCAAGAGTAAAATATAGCTTGAGATTGCGTAGGACGCACACAGAGCAAACCATGCACGATGGCCAGTTTAACATATTTCTCATTTAAATGCATCTCCTCGGTGGCTTATTGTCAGGCCTTATGGAGCAGGGGTTTTTTAAGGCGGGATTAGAACAAAGCCTGTTCCAAGCACAAAAGGGCAGCAAGGAAAAGGTCTGAAGGCAAGAGTGGGAGCAGGATACACAGAGAGCTCTTAAACAGGAGGGGCTTGTGCAGGGAAAAAAAGAAAGAGGTGAGCAGAGAGAAATAAGCAGTGATTTAGCCGGAGAAGAGCTGAGCAAAAGCTTGGAAGGCTGAGGGAAGCCAGTGAAAGGGTACAAATAGGGAAGTGACACGATTCAGCGTTGGATCTTAAAATCTGCAACCACTGACAAGGCTCACAAGAAAAGAAGGCTTTCCCTTCCTTCTCACATACACTGGTCCGACATCACAGCTACCAGCCTTTTGACACAGGACGGTCAAGCCAAGCAACTCTGCTCTGTAGTCATCTGGAGAGGTCACTGCTGAGAAACACAAGATATTCCTCCTCAGCCGGAAGAGCAATCACATTACATCCCCTTGAGCTCCCACCTCTGTTGGCCCAAGGAAAAAGAAGAGAAGTTATGACCAGGAGTCAAACCCCCATCTCTTGAAAGACAGTATAAAAAACTAAAAGCAAAACCCAGGGAAAGTGAAAGCAGGAGAGACCAAACAAGTGAACCCCAGGCAAACCAAAATGGCCTCAGCCCCTAAACCTGCAAAAACTTACACATGTGCCTTAAGCACATAACCTCAGTCTCACTGAGGCCTAAATTACGGTGGGTGCAACTAAAAATTTCATTCTGGTTTTAGAGTTATTACCTATTCCACTAATAATCTCATTAAAATGGATGATACCATTCAAATCAGGAATATCCCCAATACCAGAATGAACAGTTTAGTGTGCTAGAAGCTTTGCCTCCTCCTTCATAAACACCATATCCAGTATTATAATTGTATCCGACATGGGAAGCATTCAACAGACACACTTCCTAAATAAGATTGTTAACTCACAACTGTACTATACTATTCAGGAAAACAAACAAACATGTACAAAATAGTGTCTTTAAACATCAAATATAACCTTCATTATGCAGCCTGTGTTATAAGTTAGTTAACTGAGCCCTCTATAGGCTTGCAAAGTTTTTGCAATGTTATTGCTCCAAAATTTGGTGTAGCAATTTATATTCAGCATCATTTAAACTCTCTACACATTTCTTAGGCCCCTACAGAGCTCCCACCGAAAAAAGGGGAGGTGTCTGCTAGTTTTATAGTGAAGAAAAGCCTAAGAACTAGTGGTACAGATTTTAAGTGCCATACTGGTAAAGAAATAATGGATATAGATCAAAGAGTCCTGTCACAGCATAGATGTAATAAGACTATTTATTTGATTTAACTAACCTTGTTAACTCTTCTTTCAAAATGCACACGGGTGCTTCCCTGTATAGCAGCACATTATCAGTCTGTGCTCTCTCCAAAGCACAAGCACTGCTCCCTTTGTGTACCCCCTGTACAACACCTTAAAAAGAGGACAGGCTTAGATAACCCCACCTCATCAGCCAAAAGAACTGGCTGGCTGCACGGGGCCACAGTCTGTCTCTTTCCCTGTAGTTGTGGACAGACCCCTGCTGCATGCTTGTGAGCTTCAGGGAGAAGCCTGTTTTCCCTGAGCTCCCACTGAGGGCAGTGATGGCTCTATAGCCATTATTTCTTTACCAGTATGCCCCTCCTCCCAGCAGAGGGCTGGTGCCCTAAAGGCATAAATGAACCCTTCGTCAACAGCCATGTGCTACATAATTTCTCTTCCAACAGCAGCACAGGGTTCTGTAGGTGCAGATTACACAATGAGGCAGTGATTATGAAGCTGCCTTAGGTGTACACTTGGGTGGCTTATCCATACTATCAAATTTGCACTGTATTATGTTTACACTGTAACATGTTGCTTAAAAACAGCTTACTATGTACTTTTCTCCTAAATGACTATAACGGAATGACTAGTGGGTGCAGTACCAAGAGATTACAGCTGGTCAGGAAAGGATTTTTTCCCCTGTAAAAAACTGATGAATTTTTTAATTTTGTCAACGTTGTCAGGTTTAAAACTGGAAATTTTTGGTTTTCAATGGCTGGGTGGTGGGCAGTTTTGTTCCATTTTATAACAAAACCCTGTTTTTGTTTAAAAGTAAGTGGGCAGTTTTTTAAAGATTTTTTTTTTCGTTTTGTCAAAAACAATTTCCATCACAAAATAATGAGGGTAAATTTTCAACCAGCTCTGTACAAGATGCTTCACGTATGTATAGAAGTTTATACATTAGACTGTATTATTTGAGAGAGAGTATCTAATCTGGACATAAACTGGACTGGACTGTGTCTACGCTTAACTTTGCAACTTCCTGACTTCTAAGTGCCTAACAGTGCAACCTTAACATTCTGTTACTTTCTTATTAAAGCG